GGTTCCAAGCCAATACACTTGTGAAAACATACCCCTATGTGAGGGATAGACCTACACGAGCCCCGCCCCATCCAACTCCCCCTCCATCCGACCACCGTGCCCTACATTGAGATAAATTTGGGTTGTAATGACTGTGATGTCCCATGGCGTGATGTATCACCGGGCTCTTTTCTCTCTTGTCTCTCCTTTGGTTTCCCGCGTGCAACCCCCCGCAGAACATCAACCACTTTGATCTTTTCGGCGACATGTCCACCCCTCCCTCGGTGAGTGCCTCTTTTGAGCCGGCCGAAATCGGCGGCGGGCGACTTTTAGCCGACTTTGGTAGCGGTGACATCTGTGTGTGTCTGTGGCCTCCTCCCAGATGCCCCCGTCTCCTGCCAACACGCTGGACCCCGGCAGGAGCAGCCGCCAGCAGCAGCAGCACGCCCCCGCCGAGCTCTACGCCCCCTTCAGCCCCACCTCCGTGCCCTCAGGTACCCGGAACCTTTCCACGCCAAATCGAACAGTCTGACCATTCATTAACTCATCGGCTGCCAAAGACGTCTATAGACGTCTTTTATGTTTTTCAACGAGAGTGGCTTGGGGGACGATCTGCTAAAGCTTGTCCGTAAATATTGGTTTCTAGACAGAGTATGTACTAACAAATTGACCCTCTAGGTGGCAGTGCCACTTTTGATGGGAGATGAGCATAGATTGTTGGCAAATAAGAAAAACGTAATGGTTCGCTATGAGAGAAATGTTGCCGGTGAGACCCAAGAACGGAATAAGGTAGAAACAAAAAAAATTCCTGATGAAAGAAGAGACTCTTTCTTTTGGTGTGTTCGGTGTTTACATAGTCATAGCACAAACTATTCTGTGGCTTTTGAAAAATCAGTCAAAATGCTCAAAGAACTCTGGCAGTATGGGACTCTCTGTTCTGAAAATGGCTGGCAGTCAATGAGTTAACTTACCATTGATATAATCCGAACCCTATCCTTATGTCCACACATCTGACCACATCTGACTATAACATCCACTAAAAGTATCAAGTATCAAGTAAAGATTGATTTCATTTTTGTGTTCTCTTGTCTGAATTTGGTTTCTTTTTCTTTTTGCCTTGTCTTTGGGTTTGGGTTGTTTCTATTAAAAGAGTAGAAAACACACAGATAAATGGAATGAATGTTACAAAATCTTCCACTAATGCGTTTGAGGCGTTATATCAAAGGTTTGGTGCGCATGAGGGTAAACGAAAAAAATCTGAAAACTTATCTGGCAAAGACTGATATGCTGGGCACGTTACTTATTCAATCCCCAAAAATGCCCAGAGATTTTTTTTTTTTAAAGTCGTTCTCAAGCAACACACCTCAGTTCAACCACTCATTAACGGCCTAATTTGACCAAACGTTTAATTGGACAGGTTATGTCTTCTCTTCTTGTGGTTTTCTCCTCTCAAAAGTTCCAGGCAGATACAGGCAGAGGTGATACAAAGAGAAAATTATGTTCATTCCAGTTAAATGTCTTATTTCATTCTGCTGGATTTGGCATAACTCTCTCTCTGATTGCATCATCATTGGTCCGACACTAAATACCTTTCTCCCTGTGAGTTAAACATTGCAAGTGTTGATAGTGGAGCTTGCTCTAATTTTTTGAAAAAATGGATGTTTTAGAATTGTGATTAAAGGCGGATTCGGTGTTGGATTTCTGTTCCTTTCAGGCTACATGACCATGGGGCCGGTGCAGGCGGCTCAGTGGGCCCAGCAGCCGTTTTCTGCCCAGGCCCAGACTCTGGCCTTCCCCGTGCAGGGCCCCCTCCAGGTGGCCCAGGTCCTCCCCGGTGGTCAGCCGGTCATCTGGGGCCAGGCCAACATCTTCCCCGCCACCCAGCAGCAGTGGGCGGCCATGGCGGCGTACATGCCGGCGCAGACGGTGGGCGTGGGGGGGCACGCCATCCCCGCCGCCGTGCTCCAGGGCCTGGTGCCCATCACCGCCGTGTGCCCCCAGGGCTGCGAGCTGTCGGCGCCCTCCTCGGCCATCACCAGCCCCCAGCACGCCGCCGACCCCGCCCTGCTCCAGAGGCAGCTCAGCCTGGGGAGGGAGGGCCCGTCCGGGGCCGACCCGGACGCGGGGGAGGGCCCGTCGGCGTCGGGCGGAGCGGCGGGCGGCGCCTCGGCCGCGGCGAGCAGGTGCGGGACCCCGGGCCTGGTCAGCGTCCCGGACACGCTGGCATGCGGTCAGCTGCCGCCCCCCCAGGCCACCGCCACCATCGCCGCCGCCCAAGAAGAAGAAGGCAGCGATCTGGATCTGTCCAGGATGACCCTGAGCCCCGGCACGTCCACATCGCCGTCCACCGAGTCGCGTGAGTGATTCTGTCTCGGGGAGTTTTGACCACATCCCAGATAACAGACCTTAGATCTGGCCGGCAAAAGCGGATGACAAGCAATAAAGGTCAAGATGTTTTTTTCCTTTTTTCTCTCTCAACACATTCACTTGACATTCATTTTTTCTGCCCACCCCCACCCTCCAGCGTCCACCCCGGCCCCTCAGCAGAGCTCATCCTCGGACTGCCCCCCCTCCCAGGCGAGCGACCCCCCGACAGATCACTCCCCGCTTGACCCAGAGGCCAAGGAGGACCAATCGGTGAGAGCCAGGCCGGACGTTGGCGTCCGTTACTGTCACGTGGCCGATCCGTTCCCAGCTGCGTTACGTCTAATTACGCACTGTGATTACAGCAAACAAGATTCTCTCTATCTTTTTTCCAAAAATGTCAAATCAATTTAACATTAAAGGTCAAACAGGATTTAATATGTGTTGATTAGATCATATACAGGATAAGAAGGGGAAGAAAAAAAAAAACAGGAATCTGGCTCATCCTACTCGGTGCCATTTCCCCCCCCGGAAACTCAATGAAACTAAATGAGGGAGTCTGGACGAGTTGGTGGGCGTAGGACTGAACTACTTTTGTTCGTTCTCTCAGGAGTGCGCTGTGGAAAGATCGAGCTCGCCGGCGCCGGGTGGCCCGGCGGCGCCCGTTGATCAGACCGGTCCCCAGGAAGACAGCTAGGCAACGGCAGACAGTGAGAAAGTGTGAGTGTGTGGCGGCTGTTGCCTCCTCTCTGTTATTTCCCCGTGTCATTAATCAGCCGTCCTCACATTGTGACACTTTGTGTCTTTATTTGTCATCCCCGTGCCTACGCGGCTCCCCTTGTCTCGTTTGTTCTCATAAGCCTCTCTTTTCTTCGGCCGTCCTTTATTAGCTCCATATTTTCATCTGTCAGTGAATCTCTTTTTTTTTTCTGTGAATGAGTACTTTGCTGCCAACTGCCAAAAAAAAAAAAAAAAAAAAGGGGGGGGGTTCGCTTAGTTCAGTGTCCTTGTCTTAATGTCTCTTTTTCATTAGAACATGACAAGGCACTATGTTGCCATCTGGTGGTGAGATGTGTAACTACACCTGCTTGTGTTTCAGGAGATGGAGACGCTCGATAAGCTTGTGAGAGAATAGTAGAAGAAGAAGAGGACGAAGAAAAGGAGCGGCGACTGCGAGCAGCAGCTTCTCTCACGGCAGGATTACACAGACTTCTCCTGTTTTTCATTGTTGTTGTTTTTTTTTTGGTTTTCCTAAACCTAAAAGGGATTTTTTTGGCGGTTCTGGCTATCTGAGGAACTGCTTCTCCTCCGGAGTCGGTACGCTGTAACTGTACTGACTTCAGCATGAAGAGCAGACTATGGCTTTATCGTCCAATCAATTAACCTTTCAACCAGGAAGTGACCTTTGACCTTTGACTGAATCCCACCACGGGAGAGGGGGGTCGGATTTCGCCCCCCCCTAATGAAGTAATGAGGTTGTGTCCTTGAGGGGAAAAGAGAGGGAAAAAACTAAAGCAGCAACTTTGACGATGCAAATTATATTTTGAAAAACTTCCAAGAGGAACGGCATCAGGCTGCACACGGCGGACCTTCCGCTGGTCAACCGCCACCAGCAGGGACTGCACGCGGCGGGCGGGGGGGGGGGGATTTGCCAAACGTCCCCGTCGGCACCGCTCCCGCCGACTCGGCCATTTGCATGAGCGGACTGGACACGGATAAAGCGGATTCAGCTGTGAGCAGAACTTTGCACGGCGGCTCCTTTCAAGGCCTGAAACGAATCAGAAACAGTGATTTTTTTGTTTTTTTCTTTTTGTTTTCTTTTTCTTATTTTCTAAGCTGTGAATTAAAAGTCAATGACACGGAGTCAGAGACAAACATGTGACTCTGAGGCATAAATGTTGACATCGAAGTTTGCCAAACATCTATTTTGTAAATAAGAAATCTCTCCAATCCCCCTAACCCGAGCCTCTGTGCCATACGATAGCTCTCTGCCTCTTGGATGCCAACTACCTGTGTTTCTCTAAAGCAATGCCCTACCAGCACCTCCATTTTTGACATATGGACATTTGTTTCACTTTCGCCGCCTTTTTTTTTCTGTTGTTTTTTCAGTTTGGGTTTTTGTTTGTTTTTTTGTTTTTTTTATATGTCTTATAATGTCCTCCTATTGGTTGGTGAGCAACGAACTGTGAATATATGTTATGATGAATCAGAATAAAGTCTAATGTACCCATCTCTTTCGTTTAAAAAAAAAAAACACATATGAGAGAAATGAAGTGGTTTTTTGTTTTGTTTTTTGGAACAAGAGCTAGTTCTACTTCTCAAATGCATTAAGTGGCAGATTTTCCTGCGTCTCTTAGCTTTTAGATATTCCCGCATTACTGACTGAGATCACACTGTTTACAATTTGCCTCTGAGAATCATATCTCTGTTTGGTTTCTCGGAGAAGCGAATGAGCTGAATCACGCTAATATGATAACAGAAAGTAGAGCGCATTTCGTTACCTTAACGGGTTCATTTTTATTGTCTGGTCACTGTTCTTCTTGTCCGGTCATGGTAAACAGTATACAGGTCATTGTTGTAACAGAGCACTTAACCCTAGGTCTGCTTCACTGGACTAATACGGCCAGAGGACTGGCTACTTTCCATAACATGACCAAGAGACGTCACTACAAACTGCTAGACTTACAATAATGATGGTAACTGTTCCCCTGCTTGTGTAAGAGAAATGAGAAATCCTCCCAAAACATTTTGTAAAGTTTTATTTATGGAATCGAGAATTGTCTTGAGAAAGGGAATTTTGTACGTCTATGACCTCCCTCCCCCATCCCCCCCATACACTGTATCCATGCCGCTGTTCAGTCACAATTAAAATACCATGTGATTCCCACAGTCACCGGAGGTGTCATTTCTGTCTGCGTCGAGCCTGAGGACCTGCCAACAGGGGCTGCCCTACACCCGGGAAACCCTTAAAGTAAAGTCTGTGTGGCAGAATCACTCGCCTGAAGCTGGTTGGGCTCGAGGTAGACATGGATCTGTCTGTGTGTTGGGGATATTCGTCATTTATGAAAGTGCCCTCAACTCACAATCGTACTGGTCAGGTTGTACTCTGGTGGAATCAAAAGCACAGGAGGTCTTTCACCAAAGTATTTCAGAGAATTTCTATGTTAAGATGTATATTGTGTTATAATACCGTACACCTATAAAGAGTGATTAGATTTAGATTAGTAATAAAGGGATAAGCACATTAGGGCTAGCTTTGGCAGCATCTATGGTTGAGTCAGCCACAGCTGAGCAATGATTGGGCCATACAGTAAAACCCAAGGGTCAGACTAAGTTTAAAGGGCATCGCTGAATAAACTTGGCTTGGTTTATTTCACCCTGTCTGTATCGGGAAACTACCTCATTGCACACCCCCACTGTCATATTTTTTAAATGGAACAAATTCCCAGCCTTGGTTCTCCTAGAACTTCCAACTCATTCGTTTGAATGAGGTGTCTTGGAAAGATAATTGGGAAGGATTCAGGAGTGCGTGCTTTTTTTTTTATCTGGTAAAAGTGTGTTTTTTGCTGTTTCTGAAGCATCACCTTATCGCGGCTTGTACACAATACACATTTTGATGATTCAGAGAACCGGAGCTTCCCAGCACATTTTGGACCAGAATCTGCAAACCCAAAAGTGTGTTTGTTTGTTTGTTTGTTTGTTTTTTTAAATCTCTAAGCCTGCATCAAACAAGTTGAAAATCCACTCAGATATCTAGTTCAACGCCTCAACAGCCGACCTCGTGATGGCCGGCAACATTGTGTATTCAGCTCAACCTTTGAGCCCAGTGGCAGGAGTGAGTTCATCCCAAGTCCGTTATTGATCAGTGTGTGTTTACACGGGAAGCTGAGCAGTGCCCCGATCCTCCATCACAGTGGTTCATAACACACAACCATGGTGTCTGTAATGATACAACGGGGAGCCCTCAATTCTCCCAGCTGCACGCTTCTTGTTGCTCTGAGTTTGGTGCTGATAAGGTAGGAGACTTACAAATGTCTTCATATATATATTTCATTTGTTGGTTGAGTTTATTTTTCCACTAGCACTGAAAACATTCAAGCGTGTGTCTTTTTTAAAAAGGTTTCTTGGATAAAAATGTATTGGATGTCACGTCTTACTCGACAATAACTAGAAGTCTGTTTTACTGTATCTGTGAAGGGTCTTAAGATGGTAGATTGTATGTTGTGATTTGGCTCTGTATAAGCAAAAATGAGTTGAGTACTTGTGTGAGCAAATCAGCATTCGAGGGGCTTCAACATTTCGCCCTTCAGAGTGTCCCGGTCACCGCGGGCTCTGGTTTGATTCTTTCATTTGCAGTGAAGTGTCCCGAGCAGCAGCCAGCGATGTGGAGGCCGGCGTCCGCCAGGCTCGATCGGTGGGTGCCCCGGTGCTGGTTCACCCAGTGGACTGCGTGCTGTCCCAGTGGACCTCGTGGTCCAGCTGCGACATCTGCCAAAAAAAGAAAGTGAGTACGAGCAGACCCGGATGTGCAATGATACACGAGCTTATATCTGCGGGCCCGTCAACGAGCCCATCAAAAGCCGCCAGGATCATTCACGATGAATTGTGAATCAGTTTTTGATCAGTTTTTGGGTGACAAGTTCGGTCAGACAGAATACACAATACGGCAATTGCAGCAAACTGTGCGAATGTGATTCAAGTGGCCTCTGTGACAGTGCAGATAAATGAGCGAATAAAAAAAAAAAGAAAGAACATTCAAGACGATGCAACTCATTCAGAAAAATCTCGGTGATTGAAGGACATCAGACCAGTGATATCAATAGATAATTATTGTAAAGCAAACTGATGAGTGGTTAATGCTGGCCGAGAACCTGTCCGCTTTTAACATATGTTTATGCATTTGGTAGACGCTCTTATCCAAAGCGACTTACAGAGTAGACACAATATTACATTTATCATCACTATGACAATAAGCTATATAGAGGAGAAACACTGATCAGAATCAGTGGTGACAGCAAGAGATAGAGGTAGAGGGGACCACAGAAGAAGTTGTGGGGGGATAGAGGTACGGGTTAGGAATAGGATAACATAACTGTAATGTCTCCCCAAATTATGGCATTGGGACGGAAAATATTCCCCTGGACGGATGTGCTTGGTTTGAAGGATGCTGTTGAAAGATGTCTGATTGGAGGGGACGCGTCAAAGTCTGGATTCCAATTAAGTCACAACCTGCTGTTGACAAACTCTAGAAAATAGCTAGATCTAGAATAGCTAGCTAGGAAATAGGATGAGGGGAAAGTAGTACATCTGGTTTTGTCTACATTTTACAATATGGTTTTAGTATAGCAACACAGTCCACGTAAAAAGCGCAAAGCAGGGTTTTGAACCTTTAGATGAAACAACAAGAACAGGATAGCTGGGTCTTTGTTTCCCAAAGACCTAAAATGTCCCTTCCCCAAAACATGTCGACCCTCAGTTAACAATTTGGAAAATACTCACTGGTACAAATGAACTCCACTTTCACACAAAGTAAGGCTGTATGTAACTTATATTAGCGTGTGCAGTCACATAAATGATCTAACCAAAGCAAAGGCTCTGGTTATTTGAAATTCCAGTTGGATGTAGTCAGATTAAAACATTCAGGATCCCCGCAGAGCTCTGTTGAGTTTCGGGCCTGGGCCATTCAACATTTTGACATTTAAGAGCTGTATTTCTCTGTGGACTGTAAAGAGCTCCTCTGCTGGCAAAGGTCTGATCTGATGTACTCCAGTCCTCTATCTCATCCACTTTACAAGGGGGGAGGATTAATAAACTTGACATGACAAAGTGAAAACAGCCCACTAATGTGATTTCAGCCCTTATAGCTCCCCAGAGCGGTTCTCCAGCCACCTTACTGTGTAGTGGCCAATCTTCCTCTGTCTCTCCGTGACCGCTTATGTGTTTATCTCTCTCCAACCACCCAGTTTCGCTATGCGAAGCTGGAGCAGCCATCTCAGTTTGGAGGGGAACCCTGCTATTTTCATGGCACTGAAGAGGAGGCCTGTGAGGTTCCAAGCCAATACACTTGTGAAAACATACCCCTATGTGAGGGATTCCTCTGCACCCAAACAGGTATATCCAATTCCACCTCCATTCTTCATTGCGGTTGAGTTTTATTAACCCTTCAAAGCCTGATCCCAGAAGAAATAGAGACAAATTTATATTTTTTATCTTTATTTGTCCCTTTAAAAAAAATTTTTTTTTAATTGGAACATCTATCCTTTATTACCATGCAAAAATCAGTGTTGTGTGTCTTCTTCCCACTGTTATCAAGTATATCTGATAGTGTAACACAGGGTTTGGAGCATTAAATGGTGCAAAAAGTCTCATATGCAAAAGATTTCGGAAAACGTATGTATCCAATATGATACATATGGCATCATACGGTTAAACTGATATGAAATTAGTAGTGTCAAAGTATTTTCAGTAGCTTGCAAGTAGATAGGCTACAAATGTTCTAATAAAGATGTTCAGTCCTTTTTTTTACAGTAATGCAGTGAAACTGCGAGGAATGTGAGGCAATTAAGAGAAAAGGGCATGATTTTTTTTTTTTTTTTTACCTCCTGCCTCTTCCTTGTTGCCAACTCCCGGGCTACACATGCAACCCCTCACACAAAGTCATGTTGGCTAAAGGCCAGTTTTATAAAGACTAGATGCAGCGAGGGCTGAATTGTTGGCGGTTGGGTTGACAGCAGCCAGGGGTTGAACTCTCCCACCAGCAACCACTGATCTGTATTAGAGCAGAGTCAGAGTTTTTTTTATTCTATCCACTTCAAATTGAGTAAAGACTTATTTTATTTGTTCAGATTTTACAAGTGAGGACTTACAGACCTGATGCATGAGTCACTTTCAAATATAGTATGTTCAAAAGCAAAAGCTGTAGATCAGCCTGGTTTGGTTCAAAAGTTTTTAAAAGTGACCCACACACGTGCCGACATCACTTAAGATCTCTGAAAGTTTCATGTATTATGTAAACTAAGACGTGTCAGTGCAGTCTCCTGTGCGACTTTTGCACAATTCAAATCTATTGAATCCACTTGTTGCTGCCGTCCAGGCCGCTGTGTCCACAGAACCCTGCAGTGCAACGGGGAGGACGACTGTGGGGACATGTCGGACGAAGCTGGCTGCAAGAAGGTTTCCAAGCCCTGCAGGGAGGAGGCAGAGGAGTACTGGGGAATAGAAAACCTTGCCAAAGGGTTAGCCATGTGCATTGCTATTCAAGTGCTATGAAAACTGCACTGCTCTTCACCATTAATCCTGTTTTTTTTTCTCTCCCTTTTTTTTGTCTCAGAATAAATGTCTTGAACAGCAACCTTGAAGGTGTGGTCCTGGATAATAGATACTATGCAGGCGGGTGCCTGCCTGACTATGTCCAGAATATAGCATTCAGGAAGCCCTACAACTTACAGCAATATACGTTCCAGGTGGAGATGGCTTGCTTAAGTCATATTTAAAAAAGACTGTAAAACAAACCTACCAAACTGTTTGAAGATAGTATGGCTTCTTTTTATTGTATGAAATATGGAAGCTTTTGTGTACAACTTCCATATATATCATTGGCAACAGAGGAACAACACCTAGGGTTATTAATGAACTATATTAAGTTATATATATATATATATCATATATGTATAATTAGATATGGGTAACCATGGAGTATTTTCCAGGCTGGCCACAAACTAATAGTGTGAAATTATTTAAAACTATATTCAATGGTTAAAAGATTTATATAGTTTGCTGCCATGCTGAGTTAATATCTCCCCTTTGTTCACAGACAAAAGGCTCATATGATTTCACTATGAAGTCTTTTTCGTCCTACTCCTCATACATGGACTTCACTTCGAGAGAGCGCACATCTAAAACCTCTTTCTCGTTCGGCATCGCAGTTCCGGGCGTTTTTGAGTTTGGGTTCAGTTACAGTGACTCCAAGTACAAAAAGTCTGTTCAGAAGACCCGGCGGGCCTCTGGAACTGTGAGACGCTTTCCCTTCTATCTGCTCATTCATTTGACCACAAATTCCCATTCCCTCAACTGGCTGTCAATTATTCGATTGGGATAGTGTTGAAGAATTTAGTTATAGTGTTTTCAGTCTGTGAGCTTTCAGGTGATTGTTCCTCGTGTCTTCTGATCCCCAGACCAACAGTTTTATCCATGCAAAAGCCGTGCTGGAGCTGGCCCAGTACATGCTGAAGCCGGACGACCTGGTGCTTCACCCAGAGTTCCTGCAGCGCCTCCGAGCCCTGCCGCAGTCCTACGTTTATGGGGAGTACAGACAGATCTACAGAGACTATGGGACCCACTACATCATAGAGGCCACGCTCGGAGGAGAGTTTGAGCACACCATCATCTTGGACAAGGAGAAGCTGGAGAAGTCAGGTAGAGTCAGAACATGGCAAAGCAAAGACAAATATAGGTGTGCCAGTATAAACTAAGCAAAATTAGGAGCTGGAGACAAAAGAGTGTCCAAAACAAGCACAAAAACATGCATAATGGGGGCGATCAATGTGCTGGAATTAGGAAAGCTCACAGTTTTATATACTATCATTATATTTATATATCCTCCTGAGGCCTGAGCTTTTATTTGGTGTTTCCTTTTTTCAAGATATATGGGATTAGTAGGATCTTATAAGTTTAGACTTTGTCATGGTACAGCTATTTAAAATGTTTGTTTATATATTTATTTAAATGTTTTTGCTTATTTACTAAATTTTAATTGCACAACAAGAACATGTTTGGTTGAAAATTTATAAAGTCATTTTACTTTAGCTTTCAAACAATAGTGTCTGATAGCGTCTACTATGAGGCCAAGAGGTCAAAGGTCAAAGAAAAAAGAGGTAAAGAGAGGCAAAAATGAAAGGTCCTCATTTGGGAAGGCAGGGTCTCTTCCTCCTATATACAAAAATAAAGAAAAATAAAGATAAACCCACTGAGAAGAAAAACTGTGCGATGAAAAAGTCTATTTATTAAACTTATTCTTACTAATTCCATTGATATATATATATATACACACCAAGGATGAGGCACGTTACAAAAGCTTGGAAATTGGATTTTGAGGACGCTTGCAGAATCAGATCCTTCTGAATTCTTTAAACCAGGTCACGCACAAGTTTGTGAGCAAGTCCGTGCCGCATCATCAACGCAAACGATTCCCCTCTGCATTTCTCACTTGTAGATTATTCTTTGGAAGACTACAAGAACTGTGTGCAGGCGGGCATAAAGGCCGGGGCGAACATCTACGGCGTGTACGTGTCGGTGTCGGCAGAAGGTGGATCCTGTGATGGGCTGCTGAACGAAATGGGAGGTCAGGGTTGTTGTTTTTTTTTGTATTATTTTTCGAACATTGTCCATTGTTTCATACCTGACAAATGTCTCCTTTAAGAGGACACAAAAAGTGGCAGCATGGCGGAGGACTTTGTTGCGGTCGTAAAGGGCGGAACTAGTGAATCCATCACAGCTCTGTTGTCAAAAAAGCTTCCCACCCCACAGCTGATGAAGCTTTGGGGCGAAGGTGTGCGCTACAACCCCGACTTCATTCGCATGACTGTGAGAAACCCTGCCTAAATATATCTTTTGTTTTCCTCCTTTTTTTTCGTTTTATGATACGAGATACGCTGTCAACTTCTGTTATGCGCACGCTTTGCCTCCCAACTGTGACGCCCAATATCCTGTAGCATCAACACTATTAACACCTTTTTTTTCCCATTTTTTGTTTTTTGCTACTCTCCATTTCAAATCCAACCCAATTCAAATCCAACTGTGCACAATCTATCTGACTAGACCGCTTTTACATGCCAACATTTAGTACAGCAGACCTTATCGGTGTCAATTTTTTGGAGTGCAAACTCCAAACGATTCCAAAGTGCAAGTGAGCCAAAGGCAAATAGCCTAAACTGTCAGGCTTCCGCCCCCTTTCCAGTTGGCCAGTGCATAAAGTGTCTAATTCCGAGATAGTTTTTTTTTTTCAATTCACCCCTTCTGCCTCCGCATAATGTGTGTGCCATTGTGTCGATTAGACGAAGCCCCTGTTTGAGCTGGTGACGTCTAGAGACTTCGCCTTTCACGCGATCCTGAAAAGGAACCTGAAACGCGCCCTGACGGAATACCTGGCGGAGTCCAGCGCGTGCCGCTGCTCTCCTTGTCTCAACAACGGAGTCGCCGTTTTGAAAGGTGCCCCGCTCAGCAGCATCTCATTTCCATGTTTCCCACTCCAAAGCTACTGTTTACTACCGTTACTTTTGTACCTGAGACGGATGCAAAGCCTCGACACAAAAACAACCTTTCTTCCTTTTGTCATCCTCAACAGGCACCAGGTGTGAGTGTGTGTGCCCCATGGGCTACACTGGAAAGAGATGTGAGATCACCCACAGGAAAAAAGGTCGGCAAACCTGAGCGTTTCGTTATTCGTGAACCGAACGGATCCCCCCATGAGATGCGTGAATGACCTGTGGCTTGCTTCTTACAGTGGTAGCTATTGATGGCAGCTGGAGCTGCTGGGGAGGGTGGTCCTCCTGCGGCGGAGGGACGATGACCAGAACCCGACAGTGTAACAACCCGCCGCCGAGCACGGGAGGAGCGGCATGCTTTGGCCTGGAGCAAGAGTCTACTCAATGCTTTTAACATCTCTGATCTCAAAGATGCCATAAAGATTGATGGAGCGCTTTTGAACAAATAAGCATCGGTCTGTTGTGTGTCTTTTGCTGTATCTTCAGCCACCCCCCTGGTTTTATTTTAGGTGTTAGTCACCAAGAACTCAGTTTTGCTTGTTAAACTTCTGAAGTGGTCACAGTCTTCCAGTTCCAGTTCTCCAGGCTTTCAGAAGGCCTTTCCAGGTTTTTTTCTTTGGGCATTGAACTGTCTATGAAAAGGCCTCAAGGCCTGTTGAGTCTACACATGAAATGCACCGCAACACGGAGTCAGAACCAGTTTGCGTATCATTTTTAGGCGTTTAACTGCCAGCAATCTGCTGCAAAGGCTTCTGCGTCTGTTCCCACTTCTGAAGTTGCATCAATACAAAATGCGAACGATAGCTGGTATGAGTTATTACTCTTTAGACAATAAGCCAAACCACAAAACAAGAACAACAAAAAAACACAGATGTGGGGACTCTACAAGCAGACAACTAAATTAAAAACATCTACATCATTCAAAAATAATTCCTTGAAAAAATTATGAAAAGAAACAGCAAAGTCATGCCACGGGAAACCGAGACATCCAGAGGCATCCAGACCCCTCAACTGGTTCATCTCCAGTTCAGGAAATCTTCTTTTCGGAAAAAGTTTCTACTGATAAAAAAGAAAACAAAACTGCTAACGTCCCAGAAAAAAATCTTCCTGAATTCCTGAAGACTACCGGAATTTTCAGACTATAGGTCGCACTATTTGACATCTTTTGTCTGGGGGTGCGACCTATACGCCAGGGCGACTCATGAATGAAAAATATACCGGTAGATTCTCAATTATTTTACCGTGATAACACTATTTTACGTGACAAAGTCCGTCTATGTTTCAAAATGGCCACCGGAAATGGAAATGCAATGCATCATGGGCTCTACATTACAACAAAATATTATCATCTGAATTTTTTGTATTAACAAACCTGTACGTCCATGCGACTTATAGTTCAGTGCGACTTATTTATGGTTTATTTTTCTTTATAAAGCATGAAGTAGCTGGTGCGACTTATAGTCCGGAAAATACGGTACCTAAGAAAATTAGACCAAAGCTTTTCTGAGAAGGTTCGGACGGTGTTGAAGAATAAACATGTGAACGTTACACTGTGTGTTGTCTCACTGTGTTTTTACTATTTGGCTAAGTTAGTGACTTGGAGTAAGCTGTTGTAAACTACTCATTATTTCTGGCCAGACAATATATATTTTTAAAAATACATGAAAAATACCAATGACAAGGACAATAAGGACAAGCGCCCACACAAAAGCTTGGGAACACACATTTATTCCTTTCATTTAAACCTGGTGTAGACCGGGAAAGATTTATTTTCCTGTTGACGGCTCTTGCAGAGGAGTTTTTTTTTATTGCGCTCCCCCTGCGCTAAACACCATCATTATTCTCAGCAGCGCTGAGCCTGAGTCGGGGATCCCAGGCAGGTTATTCCACCCCCATCGGGTGCAGGATTGTCACAGGACCTTGACCTGGTCTTCCTCCCCGATGAGCAGGATGACCACGACCCCCAGCAGGACCATGACCCGTCCGTCTTGGCATCTGTGGGGCGCAAATTTGAATAATTTTCATAACAATTTATTTTAAAAAACACTTCGATATCACAAGTCTTTCTATTAAATCTCAACCAGTATCATTCTAAAACTGAATGGCACAAAACGATGTACTGCTGTTTCTAAAAGACAGATTGAGCATTTGAGGGAATCCTGTGCATGTATATAACGATATTCACGATATATGATAGATCTCGTATTTTCAGATGCATTTAGATGTGTTGGATCTGTTGGAGAAAACCTCAATTTCTCGACCAACATAAATTAGATTAAGAGAGTTTTCTGCTCGAGGGGGTTTCAGTGCTGTACCTTGTTTGGTTTGTACGATTGAGAGACTCTGCCTCACCTGGTCTTAAAGTCTTCTCGCAGGCACTCCCCTCGAATCCCGACTTACAGATGCAGCTACAGGAAGTGCCTGAAAGGACGGGGATGCCGTTGTGCCTGCAGGGCGCGCAGCGGCACGTGTCGAACTGCCGCTGGTACTCGTCCACGGCCTGCTCCAGGTTCGCCAACCTCGCCCCGGCCTCGGCGGCGGCCGTGCTGAGGCGCACCACCTCGTAAATGGGCATGGTCTGAGTCAGAGCCGAGAGGGGGCAGAGTTAGAAAGAGGAGACGAATAAAGGCCCGCAAGCCCGTGGCGATCACGGGTACCACCGGAAGAGAACTTGAGGGGTTGTAACCTCTTAGGTCAGGAATCCCTAAAAAATTACTGTTTTCTGGCCTTTTCACCGAGTTACCTCATATTCGATCAGTGCGGGGTGGTATTTCAAAGATGCGCCCCATGCTCTGTATGTGTCAGCGTTCCTGATGGTCAGCACGCCAGCGCTAGTCTCCAAGATTCCCCCCTTCACTAGAGTGACAACGTCCTTAATCAAGGATGAACTGTTGGTTCTCCCTGTTAGAATAAAACAAAGAGGGTATGTTCAATCATTTGGCGAGCTTCAAAGAAGTAGAAGAAAAAACATAATTTTGATGACTCACCATCTTGAATAGTAGTGTCTTTCTCGCATCCTTTCCCTTTGGCCTTAAAACCTAATGTTACGTCACCACTGATTGGATAACTCACGCCAAGAGAAGCACCGATGCACAACTTTGCGGTCTCAGCGTCAACATCTGGAATAATCAGGGCGGAAAATAAAAAGGATTGTTAACTTTGCGTCATGTTTCTCAAAAAAAAAAAGGTCTTTGTTTAGGAAAAAGGTCACAGTACTTGACTTTTCCATTTCCGCTTTGCTGAGAATAAAGACGTATTCCAGTTTCCCCCCCATGGTCCCCTCGGTGACGTAGTGGGTGCCGAACGTGTTCAGGAAGAACGAGTATCGCCCGAAGTCGTACTTCTCGGGAAGCTCCATTAGAGCCACGTAGAAATCCTCGTGAAGCATCAGCTGATTCGTTCTCATCTTGAAGTTGGCTGTTTGGACTTTGGACCAAACCCTCATGAAGGCATAGTCCTGCAAAAATAAATCAAAAACAGATCATCTTAGTCAAGCCAAGGGAAGTATTTCATAGGTTTCCAGGACAAAATGAATGAATGAATTATATAAAATAAATTGATTATGCCCCCAAGATTCTTAGCAGTCCCAATCCATCCTTTCTGTCCACATTTAGACATTAGTGGTAAAACCAGACCACCAATAATCAATTCGAAAAATCTCGCCCCTGTATCCACGTTACCTGCAGGTAAACTAAACTAAAGGATTTGGGGATATTTGGTCATGTGACCAGAGGGTGTTAAGAACCAGAGGTGGTTAATCTCTTTCTGGTTTGTGGACTGGCATTTAGAACAGCTCAAACAAACAAGACAAATCTTTACCTGTGTGCTTTGCTGATTACCAGAGCTATTCTACCGTTTAAAGAAAACACGCTATGTACTTCTCACATGTTTTTGGTTTTGTACACAATGAATCTAAAAGACAAAACTTCCAAAGTATAAAACCAAAAATAGACTGCTTTCCATCACATGGTGCTAAGAAGTTGTATACATACTACAAGTAGCTAATGCAAGTTACAAGTGGAAAATGAATCTACTTAAAACAGTTAAACTCTAAAAGTCAGTTCTGGAAAAATGAAGTTTTCTCCTGCTTTTTACATGTTACACGCCACAGGCCTTCACACAATGATGCCGGTAAGAAAATGCAAATCGACCTCACAAATTTCTAAGCTTTGATCCAATCACGATCCATAATCTGCGCCCGGCGTCGATGTGTGATTGGACTGACTGGTGAACATTTTCTTTGTCTTCCTTCCTGACATTCTTAAGTTGCGATAAAGGCCATGTCAATTCCCATTCCAAAACTGATCGTTGAGTCAATTCGATTGTCACCTTTGGACAGTCAGTTTAGCCTCTGTTTGATATATCGTTGCCTTAATCTCCACTTTTATTGTAACAACATATATGAATTGGTGCCATAATCATGTTGTGGCCAAAAAAATAAGTTTTTAGATAAATCTATTTGTCTTCCTCTTGTAGGTCTCATGGTTTACCTTGCTGTTGAACTTTGTCACATTCTTGAGGAACTCTGACTCTTCGCTGCCACTCAAGCCAGCTTCCACATAATAGACCCCGACTGAGACTCCAAGATTGAAGGATGACGACGTTTTCCTAGCGTTGAGTAAGCTCTGCATGTCTTCGTAGTACTCGTGGGTTCCCTCTGTTGTTGCTTCAGCCTGTAACAGTTTAAACATTTAGATTTTTTCAAAAACCGACCTTTCTTCAATTGACCCAATCTGTGATAGCAACAAAAAAGTAGGCTACCATAAAACGGTAGTTGTGATAATTGTAAGGTTTCCGGTAGTTTTTCAGCTCTTCGTTGTAGTGCAGGCTCTCGCAGAATGCGTCGTAACTGAACTGCCTCCATTCGCCATTGTATATGTATTCACACTTTCCTCCAAAGTATTTAGGGTCAAGAACCTGACTCATGAAGCCCTCAGTCAAAATGTTGTACCTTGAAAGTTGTGGAAGAATTAGATGAATCGTTAAATGTAGACATAAACGCAAAAATATGCAATTGAAACTCAACAAAATGTTAAAACAGAAAAATAACAATTAAAATCTATCGGAGGACTGTGAAAAGAGCCTTGAGGTGCAGAAGGAACATGTGGATAAAGACATAAAGCAATGTACTGAAAACAGAGTTTAAACTCAAACAGGCCATTCATCAGCAGATGAAAAGCTAAAGGCCGCACCTGTAGAAAGTCTAAATCTCTGCTAAGATCTGGCTTTGAACTCATGTTTTGGGTAGGTATTCACCCTGCCGTGACCCACAGACGGCGGCACTGTGGCAGGATTGTAGAGGTCGGATGCATTGAGACAGTCATTTCATATTTCTTAAAAGATCGTCAGGGCTGTGAGACAAAAATATTTAGACCACCAAAAATTAAAAAAAAAAAGTAAATTCACTCATACTGAGCCAGAGGATCCATCTCCCTGTCCATGGAGACCCAGGCGGATCCTCAACCCAAATTAAATCCCTGACTAATGCTGACTGCAGCACAGTAGCCACAAGGCGGGTCTGTGAGAAAAGGGCTTAAATAATAATAAAAAAACACCTTCAAAGACCCCCGTCTCCTCAGGGGGGGGAACTTTGCCGGTTTGGACTTTGCAAGACTGCAAAAAAACAGGGGAAACTGGAGGGCAGAAGAGCTTTACTCACTCAGGAGCTAAAAAAAACTTAAAAAACTGAAGCTGGTCCTGATTATATCTAAGATGATGCTCTTAATTGGTCTTTTACTTTTCGTTTTCATACAACCGTGTGTAGGATTTACCCTTGCGTGCCACGCTCAGCCCCGGGAATAGGCAGGAACGTGGAGCACTTGTCTTCTCTTCGGTTGAAACTTTCACACTCGTCTTCGTCAGAGAAATCCTCACAGTCTGGTTCTCCGTTGCAGCGGAGGGACTGACCGATGCAGCGCCCTGAGAGGGAAAAGAAAACAAGATCTGCTCATTACAAACTATCACATACTATATTGAAAGTAAACATGGGCGCAGCCGTCACATTTTGGCTTTAGAAAAAAGGGGCCGTCCCAGTGCACGTGGACGGAAACCTGCCTGTTCCTTTGCAGGTGAAGCTCTCTCCGCAGTAATCGGGTACCATACACTGCTCGGTTGCCCTGGGGCACGCCAGCCTGTCCCACAGGGTCTCGTGACACTGCTCCCCACCAAACTGAGATGGCTTTTCGAGGTATCGGAAGCGGAACTGTGACAGAGTTTGAAAGGAGTTAAAAACACCAAGTATCTTTTGCCTTTTGCAATCATTTAAATAATAGTAAATGATACTAATAAAAACACATTAAAAGTCAGCCTTATAATACTACTACTACTCTACAACCCCACACTTCTTAATATTCTTTGTATTAATTGGTTTCTTAATTATAGAAACTCCCTATGGGCTTCATTTGTACTCTTATATGCATATCCATTAATACAAATCTGATTCCTCCCTCATTTTCCTGGAATCATACAAAAGAAGGAGCAGTTAAAAACTTTTAAAAACATTTTAACCTCACTGTATAGCACAACTTTAGTTCCACAACTTTTAGTTCCCTCAAGAAGACTGTTCTTTATTAGTAAAACTACAAAAGGCCAAGAGGGGGAGGACGGGGAAAAAGAAGTATAATCACTGTTTTGTCCGTGCAGGAGTTACATGATGTCCATGGTGACCAATTCCCCAGTCTACAGCTGATGGGCACAGGTTTGGCCACAGATCTGGTCCTCCTATGTGGGGGCAAAGTTACCCCCAATACATGAATTTACACCATCACACCATCCGATCACTGCTATTAGAATAAAGAGTCAGGTGGATTTGAGGAGACCCCGCCTGGGACATGTCAAACAGAATGTTTTTGATGATAGTCTTAAAGAAAATTATGATTACAATACTGAACCTGTTGTTTGCAGCTGTCCATGGTCTCCTAGACGCATCCACAGTTTTGCTAGAATTTACTAAGAGGTGCAGCGCGCACAAACTCAGCAGTATTTTAATAAACGTCCCCATGCTGGAGAAGAATCAGGTGCCGCGTGACCCACACGGCGCTTTTGGACCAGGGTGGACCTCATCCACCGCTTTCCCGACAGACCTCCGTAAATCATTCATCCAGTGTAAACACCCGCTCTTACAACATCTGGGAAAGTGTTGTTTTTTTATCTAAACGATCCTTTAACCCCATGTCTCATCCTCACTCCCTCAAAATAATCTAATGCAAACAGAACGCGCTGTTTCCACATCTTTAGGATTTCTTTTTTTAAAACGTTTTACTGTCGCCCGCTGGGGGCGGCTGTTTGAGGCGTGACGTCATATTAGCGCTAAAAAATAATAATAAAAATAGTGGCAAACTTTGCTGACGTTTGCGTCAATCCTGTGCGTGAGCATTCGCGGCCTCTGATTGGTCGGCCACACCGACGTAAAACTCCTACGTAAGACGCGGCTGTCGCAGCGGCGGCGCTTTCAAATGGCTCGAACGGGCCTCTGTGATTAGCCTGCGACGTTTGCTTAGCCTCTTACGCCATAAATCACCGAAGGAGCCCGGCGTCGCGTCGATAAAGCCAAAGCCACGTCCAGCATGTGCCGCTTGGGATGAATGACGATGGAAGAGGTAAACTTGGGGTGGTTTCTGTGTTATTTGAACTCGCTTAAGGCCTAAATTGAAGCTATAGATTAAACCCCTTTTTCCACACCTGATGCTAGCCATGACACCCAGATGGGTCCCACTGTTTTTTTGCTTTAAAAGATGGGTTGGGTGGTGGAACAGCTCATTTTGATAGCGCTGCACTATATTAAGGGCTGTCTTCATCCACACATTGGCTGGATTTCCCCAAACTTGCATTCACCGTGTTTGTTTCCTGTCCTTCTCTGCTCAGGATGGACCAATAAAGTTCAAAGCACTGAGGGCTAAATTTCAGGAAGAGGCCCTCTTAGCCCAGGCCAAAGCCAATCGTCCGGCTGTTGCTGAGAAACCCAAGCACCTTCCGCCGCCCGGGGGTCCCTCTGGCTCCGGGACGACCCCGGTGGCTCCCCGCGCCATGTTCAGGGATGGGCTGCGTGCGTCTGGAGGCAAGCGGCCCATATCGTTCCCACCTCAGGAGACCCCTCCCTCCTCTGGACTCGCCAACGGGGACGGCCCCGCCAGGAACTCCCTCAAAGACCGGCACATGCCTCTGGTGCTCCCTGCCCTCCCCGCCAAAGGGCCACCCGCCGAAAGGGAGCCAGTCAAAGTGGCCCCCGCCCCGGCCCCGGCCCCGCCTCGAACAAAGAAGGTTCTGCTGCTTCCTTTCAAGTCCGCGGCGCCGCCAAAGGTCAGCGATGAGAACGGCGAGGAACCCACGTACGCCGACCTGACCAACAGGCCCTCCAGCGCGCCCAGCGAGTTGCCCTCGCTGGAGAAGCGGAGCGCGGAGGAGGGGGACTCGCTGAGGAGCGAGCCGTCCACGGCCGAGATGCCCCTCTCCAGCCCGGACGTTCCCATCACCCCCCCTCTGTCAGAGGCTCCCGCCGACTCCGAGAACAGAATCCTTAGCACTCTGGAGAGGGCCAAGAAGAAGTTCTCGTGGCAGCAGGGGTTGATCTCCGTCAAACCCAAGAGCGTGCGCTCCCCCGACTTCGCTTTCAGGGACAGGGCCCTCCCTTTGCCCCCGGGGAACCCGAACGGCCTCGGTGCAGATGTGCCCGCCCCCCCGCTGGCCTGTCTTCCACACCTGGCTTGTATCTCCGCTCGGCCCTTCTTCAAAGCCAGCAACCCGGGACGCAGTAAGTCCCTCTGGGCTTCCTTTGGTGGTTGGTTTGCTCTCGTCGCCGGGTTTGGCCACCCGTCTCATTCTCCCTTCCTTCTCTAAGGGTCGCCATTTGAAAAGCAGCTGTTGAGGAACAAAGTGGGGAGCTCTTCGCCAAAGTCTTCGGAAACTCTCCCACCTTTGAGCTTTCCTCTGAAGAAGCCGCTACCTGACCCGAGGACACTGGGGCCCTCGCCAGTGAAGCCCCCCAGGCCAGCTGTGGTAGATCTTAGCGGCTTCAGTGGCCTCGCCGTGAAAGGTATGGCACGCTATCGTTAGTCCGGCTTCATTCCGCTGTTTCACGGTCATCGGTGACCACGATGTCGGCATTACTCATTTCAACTAATGTCCCAGAGGCGGTGGGATCTTTTGCTCTTTGTTTTATAGACGTTACACCTGATACAGTCCGAGCGCCAAGTGGAGAGCCCCAGCCCGTGCAGGTGTCCTTTCCCAGTCCTGTCCTGGAAGCCCCGGAGTTTCCGAACTTTGAGGATTCCGAGATGGAAACGGCGGGGGACGAGACGGTTGACGTCGCCTCCTCAGAGCTGGAAGCCTCAGACGCGGCCGGCAGCGACGTCAACACGCCCGTCCCGTCCCAAATCCCAGACCCGGAGGCCTCGAAGCCTCACCCGTCGGTCACCTATCCAGCCGCGTGCGGCGGGGCGGCTATCGCCAAAGACCTGAACCTGGGCAGCCCCGACATAATCCCCCTGGATCCAGCCAGCTTCCCCGAACCGGTGAACCTGTCCGGCATTCCGGAGCCCTCCGTCCTGGAGCAGCGGTCCCACTGCGAGGAGGCGGCCGTAGACTCCCTGGCTGCCTTCTGCATCGATGAAAGTGACACGGGGCCCGCCGGGTACCAGTCCACGCCCGAGGAAACCGAGCTCAGCAGTCAAGCGATGTCCAACGATGACATCCAGGTGCAGTCCAGGTGAGTTTCCCCGCTCACCCGGTGGTGTTTTTTTTTTATCCGTCCGATGACCGGGATCATGAAGCGACGGTCTCCGCCCCGCAGCGCGCACCGACAGGACCGCTACTTTGAAAGCTGCGACAACGTGTACGAGGACGTGGAGAGCATCAACCGATTCGTCTCGGGCCAAGTGTCGAGCAAAAGAAGAGGCGGTTTGAAAAGTAAGTGTTTGGGCCACACATTTTTCGCTTCCCAGTGAGACATTCGGTCTAAACTTGATTTGATGATTTCTTACAGATCCGTACGCTGACAACTATCCTAAGGTAATTTGTTTTTTTTCTATAAAGAGAAAAAAACTAACTGTGAAGGAGCCAGAGGCTTGCACCAGGGGTCTTTATTTTTTTTGTTTTTGTGGCCAATTAAAATCGTGTGCTTATTTCTAGAAGGAGGAGCCTTCTAACAACAAATGGCCACGGAATCCTTGGTATGTTTATCCAAACATGCAAAGCCCGCGTTCTGTTTTTTACACTGATGCTTGCCAGATGGATGGAAGACACGGGTGTGTTTGTGTGTGTGTGTGTGTGTGTGTATATATATGTATATATGTATATATATATATTTCCTCTTGGGATGTATCTCTGTTACTTAATTTTTCTATGGATTTGTATTTTTTCCCTTTTTGTGCAAATCCAATTTGTTTTCAGTCGGGAACACCTAAGCCCCGTAAGTGCTGACCATAAAGAAAAGCGAAAGAGGGAGAAGCACCGGCTGGAGAAGGAGAGAAAAGAGCAAAAAGAAAGGGAGAAGAAGGAAAACGAGATGAAAAAGAAGTTCAAAGTAAGGGGGCCGCGGGTCACCTGCCGTTAGCGCTGCGTCCCTGTGCGACGCTAACGGCCAACTGCCATCACGCCCGTCTGCAGGTGACGGGGGAGGAGGAGCCAATGTACCACGCCAAGGTGATGGTGGCCAGCAAAGTCCGCAAGAATGACCTCCCCGTGAGGAGCGGGGACACGGTCAGCATCATCCGCACCACCAACTGCCCCAAAGGCAAATGGCTGGCCCGGGATGCCAACCACAAGTGTGAGCTTTTCTGTCCTTTTCACGTCTCCGCTAAACGTCCCGGGCCGCTCGGTCCCGCTCTAAACGGCGCCCATTTATCAGACGGCTACATTTCGGTGATGAACGTGGAGCTGAACATCAAAGAGATGCTGGAGCTCGGCAAGAAGGCCCAGGTCGCCGGACGAGGGGGCAACCTGGAGGCAGACACCATCAGTATTGGGAGCAGGTACTCGGTAGTTCACTGACCAGACCCCTGCTTCGGCCATGAGAAATGACCTCCCCACGCCAGCCGTCATCCTGTTTTTGCTCCTTTGCAGATCGTCCAGCCACCCAGTCTTGACCAGCAGCTGTGAGTGGCCACAGGCTCGGCCGGAACACATTCAGGGGGTGTGGGGTTGTCACTCGTCACCAGTAGTCCACACGATGTGCGGAGCCGTTTCCAGGGCTAAGCTCACTGCTCGTGGTCCGGGTTGGGTTATTTTGCGATCGATATTCTGCCGACCGTAATCACGACGAGCTGTTTTTTTTTTCCCCCACAGTCACAGATGATAGCGAAGAGTGGGACTGCGAGGATAACGCCCCGTTGGCGCTGGACGACAACCCGTAAGGCTGCCTGTTTATTAGCATTATTTCTGACAAAAGTCAGTGGATTCCCTGTGAAAAATGCAGTAGAGTTTGGTGGGTCAGGGCGTGTGATCGATTTCTCTTTTCTTTTCTTTTTCATTTTGTGATCTAGCTTTCTTCTGCAGATCCCTCCTGGGCCCGAGATCCGTGAGTATATTTTACAACCAGTCCTTATTTGTTTTTGGTTATTTATTTATTTATTTAGTGAACATGAGAGCAAGCCGACAATAAAAGACTCCCACCCCCCTCCAGCTCTCCTTTTAAAAGAAAGCTGGAGGCCAGAAGCTGTTTGGTGTAGTGTGTGTGGACATGTGGCACACTTTACTGCTTCAGATGCACGCTTTCACCACACGCCGTCCGCGCTCTCTCCCCCCTCCCTTGTCTCTTGATTCTTCTCTCTCGCCTCCCCGTCTCCTTCTGCTCCTCATGTGTTGACTTCGTCAGCGTGCTTTGATGTCGCCGCCCAGCACACGCTGAGCGACGCCAGCCTGGAAGACCTGCACACACAGTAAGTATCGCACACACACACACACATGTCAAAGCAGAAGGGGGTCGTCTCACTGCTGTTGTCCCCCCCCCCCCCCACGTCTGAATGTGGTAAAGGGCCACTGCTCTGACCTGGAATGCAAAGCACTTTGACTCGTGTTAGGGTCAGCAGCGACCCGTTTTTAAACTTTTTTTTTTATAGGTTTAACACCTGAGGAGCACAAGGGGTTAACTCTAGAGGAATGTTTTAAAAAATAAAATTGGAAAAAGTCGAAGGATGTTGAGATCCATGACAGATAGGGGTTTAGGAGTCCGTTTGTAAGTCCATTTATATTCTCGTACTGTTTGTATCTGTATTTATTTTATATATATAAATATATATATATTACGATAGTTTTTACATAGAGATTCATCGTAATTAAGGCTGCTGAATTACTTAGATTTTCTTTGATGGTTTTTGCTAAAAATGCTTTTAAACCTTCAAATCTGTGCTTTTGAGTAGCTGTTACCTGATTTTCTTTTAGACAACATTTTCAGTCATATCTCTGCATCATAAAGTCTGACTTTTGATGTGTTAACACAAACGTTGCCGCATCCAATCTGTTCCGGCATCTCAATAACACATTTTTCTTTGGTGTTTTTGAAGCTCTAATTTAGTTATTTGCTCCTTTTCTTTTTTCTTTCTTTTTTTTTTCGACTTACCATTTTGTTTAATAGTCTAATTTTCTTTTATCCATAAATGATTTTAAGAATGCCCACAAGCTGCTCGTAATACTTCAGATTTTCCGGTCAAATGAAGAGCACAAAAAGCCCAATCATCATTTCTGTTTGATTAGCCCATTAGAACCGCATGTGGTCTCGGTGTAACTGTGGGAGCTTGTGGAGGGTTTATTAAAAATACCATCCAGTAGTCGGTTGGATGCCCCAGGATCACTCTAAATAAATTTTCAAAAAAAGATTTGCACTATCTTTACATATTGTCAGAGCAACAGGAAAAAGGAGCCAAATAGTTAAAGCATGAAAACATAATTGGTATAAGCGGCAAATGTGGACATAACTGATTCAGATCTAATGATATTCATAGTCAAGTTTGTATAACCATCTTGATTCTTAAAATCAGCCTTCAGGACCATTTGAAGGACATTTTAAAGCTTTTCTTTCCATCCGCTCCCTTTTTGTTCCTTGACAGATGATCCCACACGGCTTCAGTAATATGACAGTCCGTGCTTCCATCAAACCTGCTTCCTCTGATTTTTCAGTTCCTTTCTCATGTCATTTAGCATACCTCAGCCTTTTCTCCCAGTTTCCCTTCCTTATGAATGACTTCCCTTCCATGGAGACCATTTCTAGCGAGGCTTTAGTGAACAATAGATGGGTCAGCTGAAGGTTCAGATCCCTTTCTCAGGTCCTGTATGCAGTCTCTCTTGTTTTGTTTTTATAGTACTTCTTTCAGATACTGTTCTTATTTTGGCTTCGACTTTGTCGGGTATTTTAAAAACGAATGGCTACGGCTAGATATACCACGTTTTACCCGATTAGCCTTGAATCGACAGTCAGAAACCAGCTACCACAGCTTGGCCAAAATCCTCATAAAACACAGCCACATCGAAAACTTTGGAGGACCTTTTGAGAGAGGCCTGGGAGCCGATCCTAGAGAGCACTTTTAACAAGGGAGTGACTCATTGCAAGCGAGTTATAAAGTAATAATGGGTGGATCAAGACTTTTCCCACAGTACCGCATTACATTGGTTTTGGAATTGTTTGCTGGGTCTCAGTAGGGGATCAAAATTCCAAAATTTCTTCCGTGCCTTTACGAGGGAGGGCTTTTCTGTCTCTGACTAAATTGGACTGGCCACATTGGACAGGTGTCCCTCGCCTCCTCGGCCATTAATGGATTCGACCTTAAAGTTGCCCTCACCCTCTAGGACCAGACATGAAGCACTGCAGAAACTAGCCTTCTTCTTTCAACACAGCAAAGCTGAGTGCGCCGACGTCCCCGGAGCTGGAAGAGCAGCCCTTAAAAAGTACTGTCCCGCTCGCACTTCACCTCAAACAAGATCAGATTTTTGGTTTTTATCCAGCCTGCTGATGTTTAACTTTTTTTTTTCTCCTTTTTCTCGCTCTCTCTTTCTGCTTTGCTCTGTTCAAAGTACGGAGACATCAAGTAAGTCGATCCTTTCTTCTCCCCTGAATGGCTCCACTGCCTCCGTCACTATCTCTGATAATGGTGATTGTAAAAGAGGGTGCTTCCAAATCGACTGCAGAGCACTTGCTTTGAGGCCTTCCCTGTGGTGGAAAATAACATAAGTGGAACATTTATCTGCTTGGAGACTAACCCGGAGACAAGCTGGTGTTGCATACTTTACAGACAGCGGTTCAAAGCTGACGCGCCCTTTCGTATCTGCTCGTTTTTATCTAGGCTGCTTATGTGCAGTCGAGGAGCCGCCATACCCGTAAGTGTTGGCCGTTTCCTCCTCAACACCTGCATGCGCTCAGATAGATTATATATTGGCAGAGCGCTTAGTTGATGGTGTGTCCCATTGTGTTCCTTGTGACAGCGAACAAGAGGTTGACTTCACAGAGCTGGAGCTCCTTCCTCCCCCACCTCTGTATGCTGATGACTGATCTGATCTCCACATCAGATGAAGCAGAGAATGCTCCCTCCATAGCATCTGGGGAGGGGCGGGCACCCTCAGGGTTCAATGGAATGCACTGACACTGAAAATAAGGTCACGACTGCCTGTACAACCGTACCATAACTATGTTTTCACCCTTTAGAATGTGTTGTCATGGGTTCATTAGGATGCTTTTCACACCAGAAGAGAATAACAGCCCTAGAGCAGTTAGTTTTTTTTGTTTGTTTTGTTTGTTTTATTTTTTTTTCATGGGTAGGTTCTGTATTGTATACGAAAATGTTCTTTGCACTTTTTTTCCCTTTTTTTTGTGTTCATGTTCAAATAAATAATTTACACTTATTTATACTTTCATGGTCTTGTTAGTTTTTTCTGGATGTTGGATACATTTTTAAAAATCACTTGTTTTGAATACTTTGAATACTTGATAACTCTTTTTTTTTTCTTTTTTTAAATGCATTATATATCATTAGTAACCTAATTGAAAGTTGTTGTTTTTTTAAGTATAGTAAAAACTTGAGAAAATAACAACCCACACGCGGAGGTTTACTGCCTGGAGGGGCATTGTCTGCTGGCTGACTCCTCCGCCCGGAGCATCCCTCTGCCCTCAGAAGTGTGTGGGAAAGCTGCTCTGGAGACACGGCCATATGGCATTAATTGGGAGGGGAGGAGCCGGAGGTGTGGCTTTGTTGGGGGAGAGGGTCGGAGGGGGGGGCGTCACAAGACTGAAATACCCCTTAAGAAACGAAGAGACCGGTCAGAAAGTAGCGAATTGCGGCTATTGACAAGCGGAGAAAGTGCTCGCGCTCCCTGCGGAGTGATATCTCTATCGACTAGGCTCGCGCGACTGCTCCGTGGGGTTCACGTCCAACTTTGAGGCACGCTCGGACGAAACGACGCGTGGAACCCGTTAGTTTAGGTCGCATTCCGTTTATTCGAGAGGCATTGACACCGCTTTAAATGCAACGCTGTTTGATATATGAGAAGACGATGGCAGCCGAGACCAAGAACGGCGGGAGTTCGCTGAACAACAATAACTGCAAAGACCACAGCCGGAGAAAGTTGCTGGTCGGAGTGGATCTGTTCTGCCTGTTTTTAGGTAAGCACTCCCACTTTTTTACTCTCAACCTGGTTTGAAATGATTTTATTATTTTTTCCTCATCTTATCTTGCACTTAAATGCTAATTTATGTGAGTTTGCATGTTGTCATGTTCTTTGTTATTATTGTCCTCGTTTGCGTTACGTCATAAGCAGCCAATCAGCTGGGAATGTCGATATTGAGCTCCATTACCATTTATCTCATAAAATATAAAAAAGTTTACGGTGATGGAGACTGTTGAGAAGTTTATAAATTTTAACACGTTAATTCTACTGACATTGAAATTTAAGCCCAAACATTTAAGCCCGTCGAGCTTTGTGTTTTCCAAGTATTTCGTTAGTTTGTCTAGTTGAACTGTGTTTCCCCCCTCAGAAATGGGAAACTAATTGAAGTCCTGCAGGGAGGGCAGGTTATATTTCTTGGGTTTCCAGCCACACCTGTACAGTATGGACTCTGCTTAACTTCTCATATTTTCCAGAGTGCCTCACATTCCTACAGGGCAGGAATCCTTCTGATGTGAACATCTGGCATAATATACTTGTGTTTGTGTGTGTGTGTGGCACAATTGAGCAAAGTGGTGAGAAGGTCAGTGAGTGTGTGCATGCTAATTGCCTCAGGTCCCGTGATGTTCACCAGCTGCGGACACCAAGTTAAAGCTAGAATTGTGGGTGAAACGTCCTTTTACACTGATGTTTTAACCACAGGAGGCCAGCCAACAGAGTTCAGGCATTTGACAACCTGTTTATACCTCTCATTTCTGTGTACATTGAAAAAGAAAAAGAAAAATCCCTTCCTCTTTTCTTCCCGCGGTCATGTATTTACAAAATGTTGCCCGGTGGAACTTTTCTCTAGTCAGGATTACGGGCGGCACATCTGTATTCAACTCTGTCGCAAACCCCATGGGAAAATCCAGCCATTGTTAACAATTTCACGAAGGCTTCACAAAATAAACACTCTATTTCTGACAGGCTATATTTACTTTTGGTCCAGTTTTTCATCTCCGTTGAGGGTAAGTCCTCATCATTTGTTCTGCGTGCTTCCCGCAGAGAAACTTGTCAACACACCAGCAGTGTTGTTTTTTCGCCGGTTAAAGACGTGTTACAAAAGGGAACAACCACAAGGAGGAAATGGTGGGCCAGGACTCGTAATCTTCGAGTCTCCTTTCTCGCACGATTCTCAGACGGTTAGGCGGAATCCGTCCCTCTAGGGTGGTCGAGGTTTAGTTTATTTTAAGCTGTAGTGTGTTGATATCCATGTTTTCCGGTTAATCCTCTAATCATAGTTGAGCCCACCCTCATTTCTTCACATTTCTTGTAATGATGATGATGCTTTTTCAAACATTCTCGGGTCCAGTCACTAACCCTGAGCAGTTTTTATTGATTTTTTTTTTTACCCACTTTTCACTGACCTGTGAGGTATTAGAGGGCAGTAAACTAGCTTTACCCAGGAGAGGGAGCAGCTGCAGTTTAGACAGAAGGGCCGTCAATTACCAAATTTAAAGGTTGATGGTTGGCTTCCCCAGGCCACGTGTCGAGGTGTTCTTGGGCAAAACGCTGACCATCACGTTGCCCACCCAATGTTTTATCCGGTGTGCTTGGCATTTTGCATAAAAGCGATGTGATTTGTGCTAACATAACGGACAAGTTGGCCAACGAACCCTTTTTACGATGTGTATTTAGGAAATTCCTCGTCATGTCCCAGTTTGATGGATCTAAAACTGTAGTCTTTGCAAAGATGGTCATTCCGAAAGGAACTATTCACTGTAAACAAGAGTCAAATCTAAAGAAGAAAACTTGTGATGGTAAATTAGCAATATGATGGCATTTTCGGGCAAGTCCGAGATCATTTTTGATGTTGCGAGAATAAATTCATAGCAATAAAGTCGTAATATTACCAGAAAAATGGCATCGCTTTCATGAGAACTCTTAAAAGACAGAGCGGCCTTTAACCCCGTTATAGAATTAGGAATGTTGAGCATCTTATGAAGTTATGTTTTAGCATCTGAAACACTTAATCTTTTGGAACATAAATCAAATTATTTTCTGCTTCAAGACTTTGAAACAAATGTACAAAAGACTGTGTCTGTGTCTCAGATAGATCTACACAGACTTGTAAAACATTCAGCCTGGTCATCTTTCAGTAATGGGGAAAAAATGTTTTCACGGAGTCTGAAAGATACATGTGGACCTTCGGTTCATCTACTGTTCACTGGACATCCGTTGCACCAGGTCTCAGAGTCCAGATCCTTGGAAATATCCTTCAATGAGCCTGAAGAACTATTCCTAAAGACTGTTTGAAGAAATTACAAAAAGCTTTGTAGCTAAAGATGGTCATATCAAAATTTGCATCACGTTCATGTCTCGCTAAAAGTTTCAAACTGATTTTAAAAAAAGAAAGAAACAGTGGACACTTGGGTTTGTTTATTTCGTTACAGTCTCCCAGTTTGGAGATGCTTTAGATTGGAGTTCTGTCGAACCAAAGCGGGGGAGTTGGCCTTTTTTTTTTTATCTTTCTTTTCATTTTTTTAAACCATGAGCTAAGTTTTGCTGCCGGGCTTCCCGACACACAGACACTCGTGTCGTCTGCGGGCTGTGGAGTGTTAAAACAACCGCATCTGTGTGCGCTCCAGGTCTCCCTCCCCGCGCACGCCGCCCTGCAGCAGACAGTGAGATCCCTCCCGAGTGGAAAATGTGCGAGTTTGTTTTCACAGTCGCACTCGGTGTTTTGGCGAATGCCTCCAGAATATAGCGAGCATTCATTCTAATTCATTCTAGTTTCCACACACACACACACATACATACACACACGTAATAAGCTCTCCGCAATGTGTTGAAGAAGTCATCATCATTATCATCCTTCTTCGTTCCCAGTGCTTGCTTTTGTAAAGTATTACCTTGATTGGGCAGAGTGCTTAATCTGGAGGGGGGGGGACAGTTTGTTTACTTTGTTATGTCAGCTTTCGCCTGGAGCGGGTGCAAAAAAGAGATACCCACACACTTACCGACAAGTGTTGCTTTTGTTGGCACGGTGACAGCGACAGTACCCCCCCCCCCCCCCCCCCCCACAAACCCCCCCCCTCCACCTTCCATAATACTTGCGGGAAGAACGGAAGGCGGTGGGAGGGGAAAATCCTGAGGCGTCTCACTCAGTGCTGATGCTGCACTGTCCGACCAACCCAAGGGGTCAGGGGGAAGAAAACACACGGCCAAATGCCCGGAAAAAGGGAGGGGGGGTGGGGGCTGACTGTTACTGTTGTTGTAGTCATGTTTTTTATTATTTTAACGTTCATCTTAATTTTTTCTTTCTTAAATTCCAGTCAGTTGACCCCATCCGGGCTCCTCGGCCTTTGCCAGTTCCCATGCCCCTCCACCTCAGGCCTTTTGTTTTTGGATTTCAAGGCAGCGGCAGGGGTCAGAGCGTTTAGCCCCCCCCCCAATCCATCCCTCTGCTTCATATCAGCCCACCTTGTTCCGTTTACAGAACAGATAAGCCTCACCGAGGCGGATCGGGCATTCGGGATTGCGAGCTCAGCGAGGACGATGTGTATTTTCACAGTCCCAGAGCCGTTAAGACGCCCCGACCCCAATATTTCTTTTTCTTTGCTCTCTGCTCCCGGGCCGAACGTTTTTCTCCGTCCAGGAATTTGTTTGAAGAGCGGGCGAGAGCGAGAAAGTTAATAATGTGAATCCCGCCGAACGCGAAGGGAACGCCGGCGTTCCGGGTCTGTAACCTGAGCCGAATCCAGCTGGACTTTCAAAGTCATGTGGATGTGTGTGTGGGGTGTTAGAGGCTGAGGGACTCGGCAACTGAAGCATGTGTTGACATTTGGTTTGAGAAATCGCCCCCCCCCCCCCCCCCCTCCACCACCACCGCCATACTTCTTGTTTTTCTTTGTATCGGCAGATCGTAGATTTATTCAAAGACCGACTTGAAAGCTAAACATCACTTTGAAGTGATTTGAAAGTGTGTTTTTCTTTGTTTTTTTCCCCCCAAAATCTGCCTCCAGACTCCAGGCCTCTCCTGGGTACCACGTACACTCTCAAATATCAGAAGTCACCCATGGGGGGGGGGGGGGGGCTTTTAAATACGAATAAAAGAATGAGCTGTCATTTCTGGCTCGGCTCTGAGTTACACCCACTCTGTTTGTTGTTGGGAGATAAATCTGATGTTTTTCTGGGGAAAGACGCTAAATTTGATCAGACACAACTCCTCCTGCCCCCCCCCCCCCCAGGAATCTAAAAAGCGTCTTTTCAGTTGAACTTGAAAGTGTCGTCCGGAAGGGAAAGGGGAGCGATATTGTGTGCTATTCATGGCACTTCCCTTTCCATGAACAGTAACTTGAGATCTCTTGTTAGTTTATTGACCTCTTCTTACTTAAATGATTCGCAGAAGTCTAATACAGCAGTGTAGTGTTGAGTTAGACAATTTGTTATACAATCAAATCCTGACCGATTCATATGGAGTTTTCTCATGACATTAGTGTCATATAGTGCAGTGGCTTGTGTATGGGTTTGTGTGTGTGTTTTCCTTTTTCCTTTTTGTTTTCTTCATGTACTTATTCCGCTGCACTGGTGTGTCTGTCAAACCATACAGTGGTGCTGGTTGGCGTGTTTTTGCACAAATCTCCCTTCCCGCCATACCAGAGAGGATTCTTCTGCAATGACAACAGCATCAGACTGCCCTTTAAGAACAGCACAGTGTCCACCGCCGTGCTCACAGCTGTGGGCGTCACTGTGCCCGTGGTCTCAGTAAGTCCCGGTGTGGTAGCGCAAGAAAGCGAGGGGGGGGACGCATGTTGGAGGGTGCTCGGTTTGTCAGCGGCCGGCCTGTAAAACCGCCGAAAAGATTAGATGGCTTCCACAGGCTCTGGTTCGCAGTCCCTGGAGTTGCTTTATTGGCTGTAAATTGTGTTTGCTGCGCAGCTCTGCCAACCCTTTTCCTCAGTATATTGTTATCAACTCTTAGATTGAGCCGTCCTCTTCCAGGCAGCCCCCGGCTCCAGTTTTATTTCACGCGGCTAATTAGGGATTGACTAGTTAAATCTGTCGCGTTGAAAAATAAATGAGATTGCCAGATGCGCCTGCCGCCAATTAAAGGATTGTTCTTTACAGTCACAGAAAAGCAGAAAGTAAGCGTATTCTGCGTTTTCCTCCACCTCAGATTCACAAAGGCTCAGGTCTCCATTTCACCCTGAAGTGATAGAATATCTACTTTATCATCCAGCTGTGGGCTAAGTTTTTAGGTAACGGCAGCATTCACATAACGGGCACGTCATTCTAAAATGACCCGTTCTCACCACCGGGCCTCAGCAGGCCTAAGAGCTCGAGTAAAAGCAGCCAATACTTTTAAGACGATTCATTTTTTTATCTTTTAGAACTGAAGAAGCCCTTTTCCAGCCAATTTCAAACACAACAGAGTCCACCCCAATCGTCCGAGCTCCGCTGACCCTAGCAGCCCATCACAGCAGCACTCACATCGCCCTAGAATTTTAATCCGAACTGCCTGGAGAGCTGGCGATCAGTCAAACCCCAGCGTGATATGTGCATATAACTATGTAAGCACAGAAAAGATCTGGTATCTGATTAATAAACTGACAGGATCCAGAAAAATCACTGTCAGTTTCAGCAGGACTGAGCTGCCACAGCCAGCAGCCGCAGAACGAACCGAGCAAGCTCCAGATGTTCCCCTGTCGCTTTTTTGCTTGTACCCACAACTTCAGTAATTTGCGTGTCATTAACCTCGCACCCTCCATCTCTCTCCCTCACCCCCCCCCCCCCCACCCCCCTTCCTTCTGTCTGTGCCGCTCACTGCTTCCTCACGCTAGCCGGCCTGCCTTTCTTGGTCATTGAGACCAGCGCTGTTCAGCCCTACCGCAGGGGTTTTTACTGCCATGATGAATCCATCAAGTACCCGGCAAAAAACGGTGACACCATTAGCGATGGTGTGCTCAGCGCGGCCGGCATTCTAATCACCATCCTCTCTGTAAGTCACCCCACTCTAATCACTAATGTCATAATCACGTTTCCCATTCCAGCAGCTTTCACTTTTCACTAGCAGCACCTCAGACTGCAGCAGATGATGACCGCGTGATTCACTTGTTTTGTTTTTTCTCCAGCCTCTCTCTGCTGCTTGTCACGTCTAATGTGTGATTTATTTCTTTTTTTTTTCTATGTGGAGTTATTCTTTTAATGCTTTAAACTGTCCAATGTCAACGTTTCCCTAAACAAACATATAAAAGCTTCTTTCCACTAGATCACAGAACATTATCTGGCAGTCAGGGAAGGCATTGTGGGTATAAACTTAAGATTATCCGAAAGGATAACAGCTCATCTTCATACCTTTGTTATCAGCCACTGTTACTGCTCTCAGCAAATGCCAGATAAGAACCAGTCAACAAAATCCATTCAGGGATTTCCCTTAGGGGGGGTGTAAGATGACTCTGTTGATTAGGGCACTTTCAGGAAAACAGGGTTTTGAGTACTTTGTTAGCCATCAATGAGTCATTCCAAAATGTTCCCCATTTACCACCATAGAGGTAAAAGCTGGCAAGAAAGTAATTCAAATAAAAATGTGAAATTATGAAAATAATTACCTTTGTAAGTCGATAAAAAGCAGTCTATAGGAGAAGGTTTTAAAATATCCATCGACTGGATGGTTCGGGAGTCAAAATTTGCTTCTACAAATTTTGAATAAAATGCTTTAAACTGAAGCTAAACAATTAATGGGTGCTTAAGATTGTGCAAATACACCCTCAGTTACCAATAACAGCTGGGATAGGCTCCCACCCCCACCACCCACACACACACACACAGCTGTAATAGGAATAAGAGGTATAGACCATAGAAGGATGGATGGACTTAGCACACAGTTAAGAGTGTGGCAGCTACCTAGAAATTCCTGACAATTGCCAGGAAAACCACAGAAACGGCAGCAAACACTCATTAATGCTAACAAAGCTCAGCAACCAGCTATCCGCCGCCTCAAAACCATTCTGAACACTTTGGTAGCCTTTTAGAAGCACATTAGCAGCCATGGGTGATTTATTCATTTATTTATTCAGCCTGAAATCCTGAGAAATTTCCTTTGAGGTTCTTTCTTTAAGCAGCACCCTGACCTAAAAAAAATAAAAAAGACTTTCAGAGTGTAGTTGTCACCTGGCCAAACAACCCCCCCGAAGGTCTAAAACTACCAAGATTTAAACCAAACTAGTGTATCGATAAATACAACAAAAGGAATTCACGTAATATTCAACATGTGATATGTAAATATCTTTTTTTTCTCAGATGGAATTAGCTTGACTTAAAAGTTTTTACCACCAGCCATGCAAAAGACGAGTTTACCCCATTATCCTAACAGAAAGAAAAACCAAAAAGACAACCACAGTCATATCGGAGTTTCCCTACATGTAATCGAAACTCTACAGAAAATGAGGGGAAAATAAAGATGGATAATAAAAAAAAAGTTTAATAAAAACATCAGAAAATAAGAGCAGATGTATCAATTTTTGGTTTTATATAAAAAAAATGACAGCCTACGTTTTAATTTCATGTTGTTTTGAGGCATTTAAGAGAATATAAAAGTAATTAATGAGCCATTTATTTATGTTGAATATCAGAAACAGACCCCCTTTAAGAGAAAAAAAAAACACCATCTTGGTTTATGGCCTTGGGTTGTGTTGTGTCTCCACCAGAGCAGACTACTACGCGGGCCCGAGGCCATGTAGGGTTTTCATGGTGAGAAGGAGTCCCGGCTGTGTAATTATGGTCGACGCAATGGTTGTTTGGTTAAATACGGTAATTGGCGGGGTGGAATTGTGGCAAGGGCCCCGAACAAGCGGGGCTCGCCAGATATCTCATTTTCCCCAGGCACAACATGACTTTTGAATCCACCCCCCACCAGAGTGTTCTGGCCAACCTTTGTGTTTCATGATCCACAGAAACAACAACTTTAGGCCATTTAGTGCTTGACTGCCCACCAAGCCTCGCTGAGAAATGCAACTGTGGCTGCGTTCATTGTAATTCCTTCTGATATTTAATCGAGAGAAGGACAAAAACCTTTGAAAAACCAGACCTTTGACATTAGCCACAAGTCAGCATCTTGCCCCCATTACGCTGAGGTTTTATAGTAATGGCTACATTTGCTACAATACAAATTCGTATATTCATTCACACAGTTAAGTCCCTCACACAAGGGGAACCAGATGTGTAAACCCCCCCCCCACCCCCTTCTTCTTTCCTTCTTTCCCATGAAAACAGCTGGGTCATGAGGAGCTGGCCCTAAAGGCCTGAATGGTGGAAACAACACACTCTATCAGCCTGTTAAATCTCCCAAAGCAGATCTCCCACCACTCAAAGAGCCTTTCCCCGAATGAGACTTATTCCTGCGCCCCTCCTGAAGAATTTCTCAGACGAAACAGAGAATCTGACACGAAAACAGCCAGACGTCCCCTTGTGAAATCGGAGCCCCTTTCAGTAAGACTGAGAAGAAACAGAAGAAAACAAACGCGCCCCCAGACGCGCGGCTGGTGGAGTCTGGCCACCACAAATCAGACACGTTGCTTAGCTCAGCGTTTCTGTTGATTAGAACCAGCAGCGTCTCCCCCGCTCCTCATTCCTCCCCTCACCTCTCTTTCCCCCCCCTCCTATTTGCTGCCTTTTAAAAAAATATATTTTTCTTGTTTCTTTTCCTCGCCGGTTCTGTTGACTTGCAGCCTCCCTCGTCACTCCCTGTCCTCTGTCCTTTCACTTTTTATTTGTCACTCCCATACTCTGCCTCTTAGTCCCATCTGCAAGAAAACAACTTGAGAATCGGGAGGGATTTTTTGAGGTTCAACAGCTGTTTTCAGTCATGCCCCCCACCCACCCCCACCCCCCATACACACTTCTACCCGCCAATCATTGTCTTTCTGTTTTTTTCCCAAAAGTAGAGTAGCACAGACATTCCATCTTAACCATCACAATAACATTTTTTTCATTAAGAAAAACCATCTTAGGTCTATTGCCATCACACATTTTTTATTCGAGGGGGTCATGAGGGGGAACGTGGGGGCCACAGGACCGGGGGTCACCAGTGATGTCGGTCACACCGCCCTCCTTTACTTCCCCTCAGATCATTATCGGGGAGAGCTACAGGATCTACTTTCTGAACGAGGGGTCCAAGTCTTTCGTGGGGAACCCCTACATCTCCGCCCTCTACAAGCAAGTGGGGGTGTTCATCTTCGGCTGCGCCATCAGCCAGTCCTTCACCGACATCGCCAAGGTCTCGGTGGGCCGCATGCGCCCCCACTTCCTGGACGTGTGCAAGCCCGACTTCTCCACCATCAACTGCTCGCTGGGCTACATCACCGACTACGTGTGCCAAGGGCCCGACAGCAAAGTCCAGGAGGCCAGGTACGGCGGGGGGGGTCACTGAGAATTTTATAAAACATGTGAGCAAAAGTTAAGTTGTTCTTTTCTTTTTTTTTTTTTCCTTTGTCCATTCTCAGGAAGTCATTTTTCTCCGGGCATGCGTCATTCTCCATGTACACCATGCTCTACTTGGTGGTGAGTAACCGAGCATTTCCTTCATTCGTTCTGTTCCTCTCCGAAGGGGTTCTGACCGTGTCCACCCCTAAAATTTGCGTCTTTTCCAAGTTTTACCTGCAGTCCCGCTTCACCTGGCACGGGGCTCGCCTGCTGCGCCCATTGACCCAGTTCACCCTGATCATGATGTCCTTCTACACCGGCTTGTCTCGGGTCTCCGACCACAAGCATCACCCCACCGATGTACTGGCTGGTTTCATCCAGGGAGCCCTGGTGGCCTACTGCATTGTGAGTATTTCGCTGTGTTTTATGAAACGTTTGTCTTCAGAGCAATGTGAACACAGGCGTCCTTTTTGTAAATTAGACTTTTGAGCGGTAGGCCGAAAGATGTCGGGAACATTTGTAAAAAAAAAGAAAGAAGAAAAATGCCTTTCAACCTTCAAATTGAGAAAATCTTAAAATTTTTACATATATGAAATCCAGAATTCATCACTTTAGAGTATGAAAACAAGAAAAGCTTGCAAATGAGAAATATAAGTAACTCTGTTTTTGTAGGTAAAAGAAAAGGAAAAATCTGCCGTTACAAATTATTTGTGTCCTTGTTAATGTAGACAAAAGGGGTTGGTCTGGAGACTAATTTGCTTACTTCCTTATACTGTATAACAGACATAAGACGGAAAAAAAAATTCTATTCTTTCTGGAGCCCTGTGCATTCAGCAGATGAGCTGGTGAGAGGTGAGGGTGTCACTATTGGGTATAAAAGGATCATTTACCTAAGGTTATGTCGTTAAAAGACAAATACAGTAAGAGGATGGTGGCTGGCAACTTAATTTCAAACTCTCGTCAGGGAATCGTTTTTAACATAAATTCCAATTACGAAAATATCTCTTTTATGATCTTCTAAGTATGATACTATATAAAGATTCTGGGAGGTCTGACTGTGTAAAAGGTCAAGCGCATAAGCTGCAGAGATACGGATGGCGTGTGTGTATTTCACTGGCCTGCTTGCTTTACAGGATCTTGGATAAGGGAAGTATTATTTTCATACTGAAAATGAGATTATAGGCTTCATCGTCTTCTATCATGAATCATATGATCATGATCAAATAACGAGGCAACAGTTACAAAAAGACGAGCGGCTAAATTATTTTATTCTGCTAAATGGATAACAGATTCCTCTTTGAAACTCTTAACATTACTACTCTTGGTTAGTATATGACCGTTGATGATAGATTTAAAAAAGAATTATGAGGAATTATCAGGGGAACCGAAAAATAACCGTTACTTCCTTTTTATTACTTTCTTTAGTGGTGGCCAAAACACGAAATTTTAACAGTTTTTCATTAGAATAAAAAAAAATGAATTAAAGCGGATCCCGATCTCTCTCGGCAGGTTTTCTTTGTGTCGGACCTGTTCAAGCCCAAAGGACGGCGTTCCAACCTGTCCCCCCCGACGGTGAAGAGAGACCTCGGCCCTGCGGCGGACATTAGAGAACGGAGCAATCATCTCATCATGGCGTAGAGGAGGCTGCCCACAGACTGCACTAAACACTGACCCATGCCTCTTCTTTTTTTCTTCTTTTGTTTCCTTTTAAATCACAGCCACTAGTCTTTACTGGATGAGGTCAACTCAAACAAACCGGAAAATGCAGAAGAATCTCGATGATCTTATAGGATCAGAAGCGGAAATTTTCAGCTTTTCTTTTTTATTCCCGCTCGCTCTCACCAGACATTTGAATGTGGGGAGGAGAGACGGTACTCTTTTGTTTATATATATATTTACATATGACTATGTATTTGTCCCTCTCTCCTGTTTAGAAGATTATTGGAGATTCTCCATCATCGGGGCTTATTTTTTATGACAAAAGTAAGAAATCAAGCCAAACGTAGACATGGCAGCTGTAAACAAAGCTGTGTGCGGCTTTTTGATACGTCTTTGTGTTTCCTTTTTCCGCCCTGGGCTGTCGGCAGCGCGGGCTGCCACTCACCGCCTTACTCACATTAACAAACGAAAAGCCAAAAAACAAATTCCTTTACCTCAAGGAAGGATGTTTTTAAGTTTGGTTGTATTACAAACATTGTATATGCAATATTTTATTATTTTTTTAATAGCACTATTTTAGTTCAAGTATTACTTGTCACCACTTTAAAGACCCGTCAAAGCTTTTTTTGCAGGGTTAGAAAATCTTGCTTAGCTTTTACCTGGTGCATTCTTTGGCGGTGCACATTGGTTACCATAGATGGAAAAAACAGTTTCGGGGGCTGGATTTTTTTTTTTTTTTTTTTGGGGATGTGGGCCTCTTTCTGCTGGCAAGGATGAGCCCCCACTGAGCCATTTAATGAACCCACCGTCTGATGCGAATGCCAGACAGGTGCCGACAAGCGTTGGGTCAGAGCCCCAGCGAACGAGCGCGCGCAGGCCTGCGTTTTTTTACGCGCCATTGTGTCTTAACGCCAGGTCCGTGTCTTTTAGTCTCTCTAGCCAACAAGCGTGCCTCTCTCCTGCCACAGAAGAAGCACCTGCTTCAACAGAAAAACGAACCAGCCGAGGCACACCAGCCTAACTCGCCACAAAACCCCGAAACGGCTCGCGAACAGCAAAGCACAGTTTGGACGTCAAGCCTGGACGACATGACTGGGAAGCTCTGTTAAGTTTTGACGAACACGACATCATGACTCTTGTGTTTGCGTGATTTTAGTCGAGAGGACTTCCTTCAAACCACTGCCTGAAAATTTCAGAACGCAGTATTAGATATCTGAAATTGAAGTTTTTTTTTTTTTGTACGTCTTGAACTTACAGCCTGTAAATGTAAAGGGCTGTACTTTGTGTGTGTGTGTGTTTGTGTGTGTGCGTATATGTTATGTGTGTTTTCACCCACTATGACTTTGTGTCGAGACCTGTGTAAAATGTAAAACGTGCCTCTCAAAGAGGCAAATGTCCTGCCGTGAATTTTAGCTTCTTTTTTTTTTTAAAGAAAGAAAACAAAGCTCTCAAAGCTCTGACTTGTTTCTGCGCGTTTTACGGTTCTCCATATTTTTGTAATGTGAAATTTTTGTATGAGGAAACGGGAGGCGCGAAGGGTTGAAAAAGATCTCTTTAATAAAACACGAAAGATCAAAACTGTGAACGCTGCTCATTTGGTTTCAGACCCTCGGCTTGAATTTGCAGTAGGTGGCCGACTTTGCGTGTGATGGAGAGATTTGGGCGTGGGGCAGTGGTAGACTTCCATGTGCCGCTTCCTGTGGGGAAATAGTGTACATTCCAGGCTTTAACCCCTCTTCCCAATGGCCCTCTGGAATAATATAGACTCCACACAGAAACTATGCCAGAGTGGCAAAATACAGTCACATGTGAGACTGCTTGGAGGCCGTAGATGTGAAGCGTTACCCTCCTGTGTCACTTTGTCTCTGTCCCTCCACAGGTTGTGTTATCCTGCTAAAAACAGTGTTTAGACACACGTTAGGGGATTGATTCTGCTACGTATCAAGCACCAGGCCCGAGAGGAGATTAGATCTCATTAGCTCAATAAGAAGCTAAATATGTGTTGTCTACCCGACTACGTCCAGGGTAACAATATGCCAGCTGCAGTGTGTTATGACTGCGACTAAATTACAATTTCCTGTCTCTTAATTAAGCCCAAGGCTCCAAGGCTGCACCCCACGGAGCATGTGCGGGCTGTAGATCTTTTCTTCCCTTTTTTAACTTTTTTTTTATGTTCATGTTTGGCTTTGTTGACGTTGATTGTTACAACGCTGAGAGGAACAATTTCTTAATTTCCCCTTCTCCCCCCCCCCCTTGATCTCCCTTATAGCCTCAGAGTTAATGCTTTTGTTATGAAGATGTTATTAAGAGAAAGGGCTCATCCGTTGAGGTCATTGTCCCGAAATTTGGTTCAGATGCTCCTTAGCTGGGTTTAGCTCAGAGATATCGAAAATAAATAAATAAAACAAATGTTAATTTGGTTGGTTTCGTTAACTTTGATTAAAAGAATAAACGAGACAGCGTTTTGCAGCCGGAGGACGTCCGCGTGGGCCGTGGCCCCAACTGGATGTGATTGGCTGGAGCTGTCATAACTGGAAATGTGAGTTCGGGAGGAAAACAACAGCTGTGGTGGACATCTACAAAAGCAAATGGAGTCAGGAATAACCTACAACCCTGGTAATAAGTGGGATATTACATGGGTCATTTCATTTTATTGTTTTTACAATGAGGTTTCTCTAATGTTTGCCAACTCAACAATGATTTTTTCTCTTCCAATCAGGTAAAAATAACAAGACCGAAAACAGCCACCTTAACCTTTCTGATCATTAGTTGATTTTTTGGTTTGTTTTAATCTTTTCCATTCACTTCTTTTTTTATTCTTATCTTGCATAATATGAATTCAGAGAATGACCATGGAAATAAAAGGCAATTACTCACTTTGGTTCTTTTCTGATAGCTCTGGTGATCAAATGCCATCCCTATCTGATGTTATGCTAGCATAACTTAAGTATGTGTTTACATTTAAATGTACAAATACCAGCTGACTACACTGAGATGAAGTTTGAGATGTTTTTTTTTTTTTTTTAAATGTCAACCCAACCCAGGCATGCCGGATTTGGCCCCGCCTGCTCTGACCTCCAGTTGGAGGGAATGAGGTGGACTTCACTGAGCAATGTGAAATGATTTTCTTGTGTCTGGGATATTTGAGCCGCCACATGTTACACTGAAGGGCACGGAGCGCTTATGAGATCCATACTGCCTTAGAGCCTTTTTTTTTTTCCTCTTTTTTTTTTTTAATGCATGTGCTCATGTTATACCAGTTACTGACAATCTTTTCCTTCTGTTGTTTGGGTTGTCGCTGAGCTCTGTGCCGTGCACCTGGATCCCATTAGCCAATTACCGCACCGGCTCTTAGTTTATCATCAGCTCCCTCTGAATAAATGTTCCCTGGTATCCAGGCCTGGGTCCTCTGCTCGGACCTTTTAGCAAGTTTGGTCCTTTTTAAATTCGGTAATTCTGTTTTGAGATGTCCTCCCACGGCAGGATTTTGTGGAGTGAAAGTTGTTTAGTTTCCGTTTTCCATGCCTCCAACTCTTTTCGGTGTCCAAAACCCACAACAAATTGATTGAATTTGCAAATTTTTCCCATCGTCATCAAACAATTTAAGCAATATGGGGGACTTAACGCATCAGGAGCTGTTATTCATCGTTATGTATTCAAATAGAAAGATGGGGGATACTATTATAAAGCACTGCAGGGCCGAGTTACAAGCACAAGGCTGCAGAAAAATAATTCTCCTGTCAACTTTGTCGAGAGCGAACCGGAATGGGAAGCCACGTGTTATGGTCAGATTAAGAATCTTTTTTCAGACCGTTGAAAAAGGATCTAAAAGTCAGGCTCTGAGAGTGGCCGGACACTATCAGAAAATCCTGCTTCTGCTTAAGCTGGTGGCATGTCAGTGACACATTTTCCTCTTTTTTTTTAGACATCACAAAGGCAGGCGGCAGAACGAGATGGTAGAAGCTCCAGATAGGTCTGATCCCTGTGGAAAATCTTCAAGGGGGGGGGTTGAGAAAATCCAATGAGGACAAGCTTACTGGTGCAACGGGTTCGCGGGGGGAACAAGCACTAAGTGCTGGCCGACACGCTCCGTTGCTCGGCTTCCTTAAACACCGGGGAGGAAAAAAAATAGCGTCAGTACAAGTTTTGCTTTTTGAAGTGCGCTCCAAGCCGGAAATGGAAAAATGGATGCAGGTTCTGAAAAGGAAATGAGGTTGAGATCAAACTTAAAAGCCTTCAAACTATCCACAATCACACAGAAGTCAGTTTCCTTTTAACGTCACCATTCAGATCTCCTCTAACAGAGATCACAACTCCGTTGCGCGTCATCTGTTTGAACACAAAACTATAAAAGAGTTCTGCCGACTGTATTTTTGGATTCATCAGATAAAGAAACAACTCTTTTCCCCCTTTTTTTTCCGAAGGCTCCGCTAAGCCCATTTTCTGGAAACGATTCAAAGAGGCTTTTAAAATGCAGATATCGGAATCCTTTTCATGTGGTCTGGAAGGGGAAGAAAGTTTTGTGTGTGTGTTTGTGTGAGTTGTTTTTTTTTTGTTGTTTTTTTCCACCGAACAGTTAATCTCTGTTGTTTGTGAAGCAATTAGCCAATGTGATTTACAAATTCCTCTCATGAACAGTGTAGCACTGTTGTGGTTACTCTGAAGGATTCTCCCTCTCTCTCTCTCGCTCGCCCTCCTACGCTCGCGCTTTAAGCTCCGTCGAGACTCCCACCGAGATTGTTGGTTGCATCTGTCATCAGTTGTGTTGCTCAAGTGACGCACTTTCTCATGGTGAGGTCGCAGGTCCAGTGCTTGCATGGCGTCGGCCATGTTTGCTTTGACCTACTGGTTCCTCTTAATCGGCTGCGAACAAGTCAGCGTTTAGTTCGGTCTTCTTTTTCTTTTCTTTTTGTTGCGCCTTCGAGTAGTCAGACTTTCTTGTAACGGTTTAAAAGGGATATTTGGCATTGGATGTTAAA